AGGTTATAAAATCTGGTCGGTCACATGATGACTTGCTTTACACAACCATCATGACTGACGACCGTAATCGCCAGGCTCAATTAATGTCGTATGTTGAGGACCATCTGTGCATTAATTTGGAGTTGAGTATTTGTTGTTAGTTGCGAAGTCGTGTCCGACCCATCGCGACCCCACGGACAACGTTCCTCCAGACCTTCCTGTCCTCTACCATCCTCTGGAGTCCATTTAAGCTCACGCCGACTGCTTCAGTGACTCCATCCAGCCACCTCCTTCTCTGCCGTCCCCTTCTTCTTTTGCCCTCCATCGTTCCCAGCATTCGGCTCTTCTCCAGGGAGTCCTTCCTTCTCATTAGGTGGCCACAGGATTTGAGTTTCCTCTTCAGGATCTGGCCTTCTAAAGTGCAGTCAGGATTGAACTCCGGAGTTGAGTATAGGGTTGCCAGGTCTGCTTCCAAAAAATAGCGGACAAGTGGCGGGGGTTGGGGTTAAGTAGTTAAAAAAAAATTAAAAAAATTACAATTAAATTATATATTTTCTTACAAACATTTTAACACATATTAAAATAATCACTTCAAAACTTTACTTAAAATTCAAAACATCAAATATATTATAATAATATGTAAAATATTAAATTACATTTTAATTTCATCATAAAGCTTTTGAATAAAAAAAATGTCCACTATTTTGTGAAAAAAAATAGTGAATATAATGTGAAAAAAGCGGACTGTCCGCTCAAATAGTGGACACCTGGCAACACTAAACTTAGCTATTGTAATTCTTTTGGTCCCAGGCAAGTCATAAACCAAAAAAAATAATTGTCACGGGAAATCCATACTTTTGAAATTGGGTGGTGTGCAAATTGTGCATCTGGTTGACCAAAAGCTGAACTTGCCTGGAGAGACCGTGAGGGACTCCCAACATTGTAGGTTAGACGAAAAGTTGTGGGGTTGGGAGAACAGAACACCCCAGAAAAGGTGGTGCACCTTTTCCATGCTCTGCCAAGAAAATCCACAAAGTCACCGGGGATGAACTTGGCTCAAAGAAGATTTTTACAAACATTAGACAAATGCCCGCTATTATTAGCGCTGCAAACCTTGGTAGGAAACGCGAGCTGTCCATTCATAGAAAAGCATATCTGGAATGAAGGAACCCGTTTGCAAAGATGACATTAGCCGAACAGTTTCTGTAAAAGGTTTAGAAAAATGTGCTGTAAATTTGATAGATACCCTTTTCTTTTCTTTTCTTTCTTTCTTTCTTTTCCTTTCCTTTCCTTTCTTTTCTCTTCTCTTCTTTTTTCTTTTCTTTTCTTTTCTTTTTTTTTTTTCTTTTCTTTTCTTTCTTTCTTTCTTTCTCTCTCTCTCTCTCTTTTTCTTTCTTTCTTCCTTCCTTCCTTTCCTTCTTTCTTTCTTTCTTTCTCTCTTTCTTTCTTTCTTTCTTTACACAATGCTTGCCTTTGACAAACCGAGTTCAACAGCCTTACCCAAAGGAAAAGCTGATTGAAATTGACATGGTGGACAGAGAGATTTTCCCCCAGCTAGGCGCTTGCCTCGCAGACATTGAGCAAGTGTCCGAGATAAGCCCAAGCGAGCCCTATTCACCTTCCCTGTCTGTGGAGGAAAGTTCATTCTTCATTCTTTTGTTGCCTTTAATGGGCGTTTTTTTCAATTCCTTTGTTGTGCTTAATGGCCTTTAACCCTGCTGTTTAATTCAAAGGATGCCCGGGGCGGCTTCCCCTAGAACAAGCAAGCTCCTGCCTTGGGGGGTTACAATAAAAAGGGAGCTGCACGAGTAGAAAAGGAAGGGAATGCGGGAGAGAAAGAGGAAGATCAGATGCTGTTTGCTTAAAGACGTTGGTTTGGCTGGGTTAAGGAATGGTCACATATAGATAGCAATGAGCATTTAGACGTTATATATACCATCCCATAATGCTTTACACAATTCTCTGGGCAGTTTACAATGTCCCCCCCCCCCAACCATCTGGGTCCTCGTTTTACCGACCTCGGAAAGATGGGAGACTGAATCAACCTTGAGCCCGACATGATCGAACCTCTGGCAGTCGGCAGAGTTAGACTGCGATACTGCATTCTAACCACTGTGCCACCAGGAAGAATCGAATCGAATCGAATCGAATCGAATCGAATCGAATCGAATCGAATAGAATAGAATAGAATAGAATAGAATAGAATAGAATAGAATAGAATAGAATAGAATAGAATAGAATTCTTTATTGGCCAAGCGTGATTGGAAACACAAGGAATTTGTCTTTGGTGCATATGCTCTTAGTGTACATAAAAAAAAAAGATGCATTCGTCAAGAATCCTAAGGCACAACACTTAGCAACAAGGTTACAGTCATACAGTAAGTGAAGGAGAAGGAAAAGGGAATAAGAGAGAAGGAAGGAAGGAAGGAAGGAAGGAAGGAAGGAAGGAAGGAAGGAAGGAAGGAAGGAAGGAAGGAAGTGTTGGAAGAAATCTCCTTCTGGGTTCTGCTCCAAGTGGGGAAAAAGACACTGGAAACATGGAGACTGCTTGGAAAGATGGTTTAATGGTGGACAGGATCACATGGCTTGAGTTCCTGAACAGAAAAGGGCAGATACAGTATAGAATAGAATAGAATAGAATAGAATAGAATAGAATAGAATAGAATTCTTTATTGGCCAAGTGTGATTGGAAACACACAAGGAATTTGTCTTTGGTGCATATGCTCTCGGTGTACGTGAAAGACAAGATGCATCCATCAAGAATCCTAAGGCACAAGGATGCCTTAGGATAGTCATAGGGAACAAATAAGCAATCAAATCATATTAGGAAACAGTCAGTATAAACAGTCAGCAACAGGTTACAGTCATACAGTAAGTGAAGGAGAAGGAGAAAGGGAATAAGAGAGGAAGGAAGGAAGGAAGGAAGGAAGGAAGGAAGGAAGGAAGGAAGGAAGGAAGGAAGGAAGGGCAATAGTAATAGCACTTATATAGTACTTCACAGGGCTTTACAGCCCTCTCTAAGCGGTTTACAGAGTCAACCTATTGCCCCCCAACCATCTGGGTCCTCATTTTACTGACCTCGGAAGGATGGAAGGTTGAGTCAACCTTGAGCCCCCTCAGGATCGAAGTGCTGGCAGTCGGCAGAATTAGCCTGCAATACTGCATTCTAACCACAGTGCCACCGGGGGCTCTTACGAGATAGCCCTCGACTTACAATCATTTGTTTAGCGACTGTTAGAAGTTACAACGGCACCAGAAAAGGTGACTTATGACTGCTCCTTACACCCCATCATAGCATCCCCACAGTCACAATGTCAAGCTTCAGGGAATTGGCAACCAGCATCCATTTATGATGGTTTCAGTGTTCCTGGACCATATCCTGGTCACCGTTTGTGATCTCAGCTGGCATCTGACAAGCAAAGTCGATGGGGGAAGCTGGATTGGCTTAACAGCCGTGTAATTTCCTTAATAGTTGCAGTGATTCACTTAACAACCATAGCAAAAGGTCATAAAATCGGGCATGCGTAGCTTAACAACCAACTTGCTTAGCAACCGAAATTCTAGTCTTAGTCATGGCCATAACTTGAGGACTACTGTCAGGGGTGGGTTCTGCTTACCTTTACTACCGGTTTGCAACGGGGATCGCTACCTGAATGACTGAGAATATCTAGAGACGTTCAGTCATGAGCTGCCCATATTCCATTGCTGGCTAGGGTATTCTGGGAGTTGAAGTCCACACATCTTTATTTTTATTTTATTTTTTAAAAAATTGTAATTTTATTAGAACACATATTGGACATTTACACAACATACAACATATAAATAACTTTTCATATTTAAGCATTGTTTCATAGTGGTCTTCCAGTTATTACTTTATTCTTCTTCCCCTTTGTCTTAATCTATTATTCCATCTTCTTCCTCCCCTTTTCCTTTCCCCCCCCCGCTCTTTTTTTCCTTTTTCCCCTATAGAGAACTATACATTTTAGTTATCTCTTTACTATTATACATTTCTACCTTCCTATTATATACATTTTTATTCCACTCTGCACATATGATACATCTCTATTTTGTACTTCTATTTTTCTCTCCTAATAGTTATTGTTCTTTATTGTTAGTCTTAAGCCAATTATACCATTTATTCCATATTCTATAATATTCTGTCTCTTCTTTTTCCTTAATTTCTTTTGTTAATCTGTCCCTCTCAGCGCGTTTTAAGATCTTATCTATTAGTTCTTCCTCCATTGGGGTTCTTTCCTGTTTCCAGGTTTTTTTGCATACATTATTCGTGCTGCTGTTAAGATGTGTGGCATCAAATATTTTATTTCTTTGGAATATGGTTTTGTAAAAATTCCTAACAAGAATGTTTCTGGCTTCTTTTCTATTTGTTGTTCTGTTATTTGTTCTATCCATTTCTTAATATTTGACCAAAAATTTTTTGCTGCCGGACACACATCTTGTCAGCACTGACATATATAAAGAGAGGAGAAGCCTCAACTTTTGCCTACTAAATCCCTTTGAAGATTCTATCTCCTCGGAGATGGGAGGGGGGGAGACATTCCTGTGATCTGACGAAGAAGAGATGGGGAAAGTGATTTGGAAGATAGCCAATGAGAAGCAGAGAATTGGGGATCGGAAAGGGAGGGATTGGGGGGTAAAGGTCAGTACTGACCACGAAAGAGCCAGGATCAGATCGCTGTGCTCAATAAAGACAAAATTTCCTCAAAGATCGGCAGTTTGCAAATTCATTTATTTTGAGATAGCATCGAAACCTGACACATCTTTAAATGGCCAAAGTTGAGGAACAAATGACTTCATTTTTCAGGGGAATTACATAAGAAGGGCACTGTTTGCACTGGACACAAACTGGGTCACGAGCAAAATGATTGCATTGTGCGCAAACGTTGAGAAACGCAGACCTAAACCCCTATACCACTGGCACATGTGGTTTGAGATGCCTGCAGTTTGGAGCAAATGCATTTATCCTGCTTTAAATGCAACCCTTTCGATTTCTCTCTTTTCAGAGTAAGTGGAAAAGATCAGAGCAAACTGGGAAGAAGCGGTGAATGCCTGGTGCCCAGCAACGGATCCCCTTGGTGTTTGGGTCGGTTGAAAGCAGCCATGTCAAAGGATGAAGCAGGCTGTAAGCTGGCTCCGGTCTACAAGCACAAGGAGCGCAAACCTAAGAAGCCCCATTACATCCCCCGTCCCTGGGGGAAACCGTATAATTACAAGTGCTTCCAGTGCCCATTCACTTGCATGGAGAAATCGCATCTCTACAACCACATGAAGTACAGCCTCTGTAAGAATTCCTTGTCTCTGCTAATCGAATCGGATTGGCCTTACAAGAAAGGGGGCCTCCTCCATCCAGAACTCCGGCTCTTGCAAGCCACAGAGACATCTCGGATCCGGGGGAGGCAGGAGGAATCCGAGACCTACGACACGATGGGGATGGAGGCCACTCACTCCAAACATGAAGCAGACCGAGATGGTGGAGAAGGCAAGACGACAGAAGACACGGCCGCTTTGGAAAGTATGAGCGACGAAACCAACCAGTTCCAAGAAGAGGAGGAGGAGGAGGAGGAGGAGGTGGAAGAAGAAGAGTTATCTAGATTCTTGCAGGAGGTAGACACAGCTGAGAAGAAGGAGATGGTCAAGGGGACCCTCTCCGCCGGGGAGACCACCGAACCCAATGTCAACACCCTTCTTTTTCAGCTGAAAAACAAGCAGGACAAGGCCTCTAAAGACCCCACTCCTGACTTCATCATCACGGATGTTTTCTCCTTGAAGAAACACATGGCCAAAGGAAAGGAGATGCCCTCCATGGAGTTGGACCCCAAACCAAAGCATTGCAAAATGCCCTCCAAATGTTCAGGAAGCGGCGGGGTCTTCATGGAGCAATGGAAGCTGGTGGCCAACGGGCAACGGAGAAGCACCACTGGGGTTCTGACTCCATGCACCGACAGCAACGTCATCCCTTGTTACCCTCCTCCAGCTTACGGGGACTTCCATGAATCACAAGGCCTCAACTTCTCTCTGCTGGGGATCAACTACCCGCTGGCTCCCAACCTGTTCTCCTATTTCAGCCCTTCAGTGACCAGTGGGGCCGCTTCCCATTCCCACTTGGCCCAATTCCCTTTCCTGGCCTCCACTGCCCAGCTGATGCATCCCCATTCGGCTCATTTACAACCCTTGCAGATCCCCGAGAGGTCCACTTTCCTCCCACGCTTCTACTACCCTCTGCTTTTTGAGCATTCCTTCACTTCAGCAGAAAACAAGATGGCCACTGCCAAGCCAGATACTCAACAACTGCCTGCCACGGCCGTACCTGCTCCCCTCCAGCCCCAGACTCCCACGGACCCCTCAAAGGGAGGTGTGTTGAAAGTCCCGGTGCTGAAGACCGGCCTTCCTTGGGCAAAAGGTTTCCGTGAAGAGTCTCTTCCTGAGCAGGGCCACAAAAGATTGCTACTGCAGGAGGAAGAGAAGAAATGGCTGATCCATGAAAGGGAAAGCTATTCCTTGCTGGCCGCTGGCCATCTCTGCAGGAAGTCATCTCCTGAGGCTTACCAAGATCTGCTGGGCATCAAAGAGGGGGCTGCTGTTCTCCCCAACAGCCTCAAAAAAACAGAGATCCATGGAGCTGCTGGTTTGGACAATGGTGGGGTCACCCCAAGTAACCTGAAGAGGAAGTTTGCAAAGAGCGCCCTTGACTTGACAAGCCCCGATATGACAATATCAGAAAAAGAGACCTATCCACCCAGGTATGAGGTGCCCTGTTTCTCCATTCATTTGTTGCTGTTCAGTTGCTAAGAGTTGTGTCTGACTTTTCATGACCCCCATGGATCATAACAAACCAAGCCCACCTGTCTGCCCCTGTCTCCCAAAGTTTGCCCAAACTTATGTTCGTTGTGTTGATGACACTATCCAGGGGTGGGCTTCAAAAATTTTAGCAAGGGGTTCTCTGCCTGGTTGCTGGGTGGGCGAGGCCATGGTGGGCATGGCCTAGTTGGCCTCCTGCACCATGGGGGGCAACGTTTTTGCCCTCCCTGGGCTCTGGAGGCTTTTCTCGAGCCTCCAGGAGGGCAAAAATGGTTCTGAAGGCCCTCTGGAGGCCAGAAACAGGCCCATTTCCTACCTTTCTGAACTTTCGGTAGACCCGTTTTTTGCCCTCCCCAAACCTCCGTACGCACCCTGCACTTACCTGCATCCAAAACAGGCCGCATGGGGACTCCTGGGATGGGAGAGGTGGATGGGGCCAGCCAGGAGTGGGATTTGGGGGTTCTCCGAACTGCACAGAATCTTTGCTAGAGGTTCTCACCCCTGCGAACCCCCAGCAGCCCACCCCTGACACTATCTAAGCATCTCATTCACTGCTGTCCCCTTCTCCTTTTGCCTTCCATCTTCCCCAACATGAGGATCTTCTCCAACGAGTCCTCTCTTTGTCATCATTCCCAGTAGTGAACTCAGGGAGCCAGGACTCTGACACTTTGTTTAGGTTCAAGAGATCCTTTACTGAGTACATCATATCGGCACTTAGAAAGGTGAAGCTAGCTCTAATGTCAGGCTCCAAGTAATGCACCCATCACAAATCAAACTCCAAGGCATGGCTTTTCCTCAAAAAACAAATTTATTTGGATACAACATCTTGGCACTACTGGTGAAAAGCCAGTACTAAAGTTTCCGGGCTTTTCACTCCAATATAAGTTTCAGTTTCTTAAGTTTTCAAAACAATTGGTCACATTGTCCAACCGAGATGAGAGCTGGTTGCTCGGTGACATCTCTCCTCCGGTCACCCAGACATTGGACTGTGGATGACTCATCAGCTAGGAATGATGTTTTGACTGAAGGCTCCATCCCCTTCCAGCTCCAAACTGTGTCAAACTGAATTCATGCCAAAATGCCCAAGGATACAAACAATCCCACATCCCAATCAAATTCAGGCTTGACATCTAAATTATTCCCATGCAAAAGAATAAGACCTCCCCACCCACCCCCTTTGTCCCTCAGGTCCAGAGGTGGGTTTCAGCAGGTTGTGACCAGTTCTGGAGAACCAGTAGCAGAAATTTTGAGTAGTTCGAAGAACCAATAGTAAAAATTCTGATTGGCCTCGCCCTCATCTCTTCTCTGCCTCCCAAGTCCCAGCTGATCGGGAAGAAATGAGGATTTTACAGTATCCTTCCCCTGAAGTGGGGTGGGAATGGAGATTTTTATTAATAGTTTCCTGCTTTTTTTCCCTTCTCCCAGCAGTGGTTTGCAAGTTACACCGATGCGAGCTTCAAAGATCATGGACCACTGGCAGGTAGAACTTCATGACTACCTCTCTGAAGGCCAGGAGAAAACTGGGAGCTCTGAGATAATTACAGCTTCAGACCAGCCCTTTTTAAAGCCAAGCAATGATCAAGCCATAACTGTTGGTCGAAGGGACCAAGAGATGACAACAGTGCTCATTGAGGATTTGTCAAAAACCTTAGAAGAGTACCAGGAGGTGGAGAAGAAGCTCTCACATTTGGCAAAAGAGGATACTCCCGCCCAGAAGCAACTTAGAGACCAGTTGGTCAAAATCCGGCAGGAACTTTTCCATATCCACCAGGCATTAGAGAAGGCAAACAAATTCAGTGAAGGTCCTTTGGATCTCTCGGTGAAAAGATCTTCAAAGAATCCAGAGAAAGGACACCAAGACAAGAAAGAGTCCAAGGTTGGCATCCAGGGAGAGAAAGTCCAAGGCAAAGACCTGGGTTCCACCAAAAAATGTTTGGAGGTGAGTGAAGCTGATCTAGAAAAGGTATCTGATTGTTTCCTTGAGACACAAAACAAAACCATTGACTTGCTGATCAAGATGAGCCATTCCAAGAACATCCAAAATTCCTCTTCTGAAACCCACCTGGGAGCTGTAATCAAAGCTGAAGTGCTTCCCCTCAACGTCCCACTAGAATTTAGGCACGTCATGGAACCTTACTACAGTCATACTACCAAATGTGAGGCAGATTCCAGTGTCCTGCTCTGCAACGATGGAAGGTCCAGTGGCAACCAAGCCCCACCACTTTCCATGACTGAAGAAACTCCACTAGGATGTCGGGCAATTCCATGTTCTTTGTCCTGTAATTTGACCAGTGAGACCGGTGAGGTGTAGAGTCCAAAACTTCACGCTTGCCCTTTGAGCCCAAAGAAACGAGACAGTTCAAATCTGGAAAGCCTTCTGGTCTGTCACTATCGTGTTTGGAACTTTGAGGACCCAGATGGGTTTGTAAAGCATTTCTCATCCACCGTTTTATGAATGACGTGCAATTCGGCAATGTCTGTTTCTCCATTAACATTTCTGATTGCCTCCCCAGACTGCAGACCAGGACAAGGTGAGCTGGGTGGGAAGAGAGAGTAAGGGAGAGGGGACATTGTTTTTTTCAGAAGGACAGGTGCCTTTGCATTTTAGAAGATCAAATCCAATCTTCCCTGGCCAGTTGATGCATTCATCATCATCTTTTAATGACACCATAATCCCTGGCGGGGTGCAGTCTGGGCAACTGAATAGAGCTAGCAGAGTGTTTGAATGGCTGGATGCTCTTCCTGTCACCAATGCGGAGTTTTGTTCAGCAGATATATTCTCAGTGTGCCCAGAGAGAAAAATATCTGCCTCCACCTAGGATCGAACTCACAGCCTCCTGATTGTGAGGCGAGAGCTCTACCTCTAGGCTACTGCACCACCCTTTGAGAAAGATGCATTGTCTGATCTCTTTGGGATCAAGCAGAGTTGTTTCTGGATAGCCTTCCTTTTCCCAAGAATCCAGTGTCGACGATAGTCCCTCTGACCCAAATAAAAACAGCTGCAGGATAATTCAGCAGAAAACAAATGAAGAACATGCATGAGAAATCACGTTTTTTTTCCAGAACCCACTACGTTCCTGAACAGTTGTCCAGATTCTTCTAAAGGGATCTCCTTCCTAGCTCCTGCTTGAGTTTAAATTCTTCTTTTGATTGAAATCCTTCCTCCAGAATTTTCACCGTATAAAATTGTCTCCGTAGCGAACAGTGATGGGGAAACCATTTTTATTTTTTTGCCTGAAGCTTTGTTGAGGCTAGCGGAGCACACTTCTGAGCAAATACGAAGACTTTTCTCCTTCCTGACAAGCTTTTTACGTGAGAGGTCATCTTCTGGACGTTGCAGATTGATTTAATCATCCCTGCCTCCAGGCACAATCGTGCTGGCCTTTTCACGGTGGAGTTAGACCTATTCCAAGGAAAACCTCTGCCCTCAAATTAGAGTAGACTTCTCAAAAGTTTGAGAGGACAATTAAATGGGACCTCGTCACACGTTTCATCTTCTCTAAGAAAAGATGATTACAGAAAAGGAAGCAAAGGTTTCTCAGAGACTATTGGGGAACTGGTTGACCTGCTAGCTTTCTAGCTAGGCACTGGTAAGACCGTTTCCTGAAATCACGGGTTCCCTGTGCTCTTTGATATTGCAAAATAGCAAACATTGCAAAATATTTCCTTGCTAGAAGCTGTTCTGATCTAGGCTTCCTTAGAAAGCATGAAGCAAAGTCTTAGTCCCACAAAACCTCTTTTATTTATACCACTGTAAATTACTTTCATTTACAGTCCGGCAAGGCTTGATAAACAGTCTTTCAGAGGAAGGTTATCAATACCCACCTATCTCACGTGGAACGCTGCCAGAGAGCTTTTATGTCTTATGGGAGGGGCCAATCATCTCCAAGCCTTACTCCCAAGTTGACCCTGTTTTCTTAATTGTTCTTGTCATCTGGCAGCTCTGCGCATGCGCACACTGGGAACAGGCTCCTGCTGTTCTTCTGCCTCACTGAGGTCAGACTCTAGAGGCTGCACATGACTATCAGATCGCCTTGGCCCCTTCTCTGCCTCTGATGCAGAGCCCTTGTTCAAGCTTACCTCAGTCCCCAGGACTGGTCCACGTTCCTCCCCAACCTCCTCACTGTCCGACTCTGCTGCCAGCTCTGGGGGCGGGGGCGGTGATCAGGGTGAATCACCATGAAGCTGGAGCCTCTGGAGCAAGCAATATGCAGGAAGAAAGATTTGGACAGAGTGTTGGTGCTGGGTGAGTGATTGGCCACTCATAGGCAATAAAAAGAACTTCAAATATTTAAACTATTAAAACTATCCCGGCGTGGAAATAGCGGCTAAATAGCAACCGGGGGGGGGGGACCCAAAACTAACCTTCATCAGCACAGAACACAATGCCTTTGCTGAGGATGCAGTAATACGCTTCTGAAGTTGAGTACTAATGCACACCAAAATTAGGGACAAAATAAAGCATTTGCCACTGCAGTATTCTTTTGCTTTCATAATGGTTCAGCGTCATCAGACTGAATTATGTGATGCCCCGATGATATACCCATCGCTCCTTGCTCTCTAACCATCTCTGAAATGTAACCCTTCAGTCAATGCTGGGACAAATTTCCACTGCACTTGTTGTGTGTCAACCACTGACAATCACTGGGGGAAAACATGTGTCCTAAAGTTATTTATTTATAATGTGGAATGGTGTTCGGAGGAGAGAGGGAAAGGGTGGGAGCCAGCATTCACGGGTTATTTATTGTCCACTGTTGGAAATATGTACAAAAATATAGACCATTCAATTAAAAACAATTGGAACGTAAATGTCCGAGCCGCTTTGCTCATTTTGAATGGGGGAGATTTTCCTGTGAAGTACCACTTTATAATGCCTGGGTGGGTAATATCACACTTGAAATATTCCAGTTTTGATCACCACAATATAAAAAAGATGTTGAGTCTCCAGAAAGAGTGCAGAGAAGAGCGAACAAGATGATTAGGGGATTGGAGATTCAAAATAAAGAAGAGTTGCAGGAATTGTGTATGTCTAGTTTAATGAAAAGAAGGACTGAAGGTGACATGCTAGGAGTGTTCCAATATTTGAGGGGCTGCCACAAAGAAGAAGGGGTCAAATTATTCTCCAAAGCACCTGAAGGCAGGACAAGAAGCAACAGATGGAAACTAATTAAGAAGAGAAGCAATTTAGAACTAAGGAGAAATTTCCTGACAGTGAGAACAATTGATCAGTGGAACAACTTGCCTCCAGAAGTTGTGAATGCTCCAAACACTGGAAGTTTTTAAGAAGAGATTGGACAACCATTTGTCTGAAATGGTACGGGGTCTCCTGCTTGAGGGTTGGACTAGAAGACCTCCAAAGTCCTTTCCAACTTTGTAATTCTGTTCTGTTTCTGTTCTGTTCTGTGATGATGTAATACAGATTCTGTTTTATTAGAAGATAATGTCACAGGAGCACCAGTGCCTATTCTTCTCAAATTCATCTAAATCAGGGGTCCCCAAACACTTCAGCTCATCAACCCCTTCGTGATGTTTCAGATTGTTCATTGACCTCCAAACATTCATTATATGAAACCAATTTAATAAATACCACTTTAATTGTACTACGAATAATATTAGCGTCAAAAACAATCGTGGATAGTCATCGGTCCTTGGGGGTCGATATATTGTCTTTGGAGAATCTTGATCTAAATCTTCCTCATGTCCATTTCCTTTAGCAAAAAGAAATGAACATTTGGGGAACATTTAATGAAGCTGAACATATGTAGCAGATGAGCATATGTGATGGGAATTGTTGCATCAAAACCTACTATTTTTATTGCGCAGATCCACCCACATAAGGCATTCTCCAGTGTATATTATGATTTCAGTTCTGCCTTGCATTTATCTCCAGTTCCCCAACTCTGCCCTAAATATCCTTGCTCTCAAATCTCCCAGAACTTTCATCTTCTCTGTATTTTATAGCCCTTTAAATGGTACACAAGTACCTTTAAAGCCAATTGATATAATTTAAGGGAAAATTTACCTCAGTATTTTATTTTAATGCAAGGAGTGCACTCATGAGGACTCGATAGCAACTCACATCATTGGAAATCAAGCGGGAAACAATATCCCAATTAGGTAACAACCAGTGGTGGGTTGCTCCCGGTTTGCTCCGGTTCAGGCAAACTGGTAGCGGCAGGGGCGGGAGGCTACCAGTTCGATAGCGAATAAGTCACACCAGGATTTGAAACCCACTACTGGTAACAACCAATCCAGACAAGCAATCTAACAGTAAACAACAGCCAAATTCAGGATCTACCAAGAACACTCCCACCGGCACTTATATGTAAACAGAGAACAAACCTCCCTCCCTTGGTAGCGATGCTACCAAGAAGGGTAATGAAACGTCTGCAAGAAAACAATCAAACTTAGAGAGTGTCAGGGACCCCATAACAACCTATATTAGAATCCCCTAGAACAGTCACTCAACCAATCCACCCAGATGAGTTGACAATCAGCTATGGAGAAGTAGCATCAGTTCAAACGATCAAGTCACATAATAATGAACCCAGGTTGACAAACGCCAACGAAGGTGAATTTTGCTTACTAGTGATAGCAACAGCCTTTTCTCTCCTCATGCATTAGTAAGTACCTGGAGGAATTCCAGTAGCAATAGCGCTTGACTGTTCCAGCTATGGTTTTCTCTGGATCACACGATCTTATCGCAAGAGGTTTTGCAATCGACCAAGAGATCTGCTTTGTATGCAAGTAAGTTGCATTTATTTAATTTACACCTCGTTCTTTTTTCTGGGGGTGGAGTTGATGAAGGCTCAGCTGGGCTTGGGTGAGCTTCAAAATAGCCAACATGCAAGGACTCTTGGACGGAAAGCAGGAAGCCCCCGGATGCCACTTCGTACTACTGTATACCCTTATAGAGCATACATACTTTTGTTCCCATTTAGAGAAATGACTTTACTTTAATTGCATTTCTATTTAAATTAAAATCTTCTTCCAGGAAGATCTAAATCATGATGACTTCACAGACAAAGCCACATTGGTTGAGGGTAAATAGTTGTTATTAACAATAATAACAATTTAGAAGTTGTGGCCATTGTCTTCTTTGTCCTGATTTCTCAATGTAATCTACCGCCCTATAATATTCTGATAGTCCTTAATCCAAGTATAAACATTGGCCCCATGATCTTTCATGCCACAGTCATTCGAATAGAATAGAATAGAATAGAATAGAATAGAATAGAACAGAACAGAACAGAACAGAACAGAACAGAATATTGGAATGAAGAATAGAGTAGAGTAGAGTAGAGTAGAGTAGAGTAGAGTAGAGTAGAGTAGAGTAGAATATTGGAATGAAGAGTAGAGTAGAGTAGAGTAGAGTAGAGTAGAGTAGAGTAGAATATTGGAATGTAGAATAGAATAGAATAGAATAGAATAGAATAAGAATAGAATAGAATAGAATAGAATAGGATAATATAGAATATTGGAATGAAGAATAGAGTCGAGTAGAATAGAGTAGCGTAGAATAGAATATTGGAATGAAGAGTAGAGTAGAGTAGAATAGAATATTGGAATGTAGAATAGAATAGAATAGAATAGAATAGAATAATAGAATAGAATAGAATAGAATAGAATAGAATAGAATAGAATAGAATGAGCTGGAAGGGAACTTGGAGGTCTTCTAGTCCAGCCCCCTGTTCAAGCAGGAGAACCTATACAATCTCAGGCAAGGGACTGTCCAGTCTCTTCTTAAACCCCTCCAGTGATGAAGCATCTACAACTTCTGGGAGGCAAGTCGTTCCACTGATTAATTATCCTCACTGTTAGGAAGTTTCTCCTTAATTCCAGGTTGCTTCTCTCCTTGATTAGTTTCCAACCATTGTTTCTTTGTCCTGACCTCTGGTGCTTTGGAGAATAATTTGACACACACACACCCTCTTCTTTGTGGCAGTCCCTGAAATTCTGAAATACTGCCATTAAGCGAATCACGACAGTTGTTAAATGAGGAACAAAGTTGTGAAGTGAACCTGGCTTCCCCGTTGGCTTTGCTCTCTCAGAAGGTCACAAAAGGTGATCCTGTGATCCCAGGACAATTACAAGCATTTGAATCCTGATCACATAACCATGGGGATGATGCCACAGTCGTAAGTATGAAAAAATGGTGACAAGTCACTTTTTTCAGGGCTGTCGTAACTTCGGTCACTAAATGAACTGTTGTAAGTTGAGCACTACCTGTAAAAGGTAAAGGTAAAGGTTCCTCTTGCACATATGTGTGCTAGTCATTCCTGACTCTAGGGGGCGATGCTCATCTCCGTTTCAAAGCCGAAGAGCCAGCGCTGTCTGAAGACGTCTCCGTGGTCATGTGGCCGGCATGACTCAACGCCAAAGGCGCACAGAACGCTGTTCCCTTCCCACCAAAGGTGGTCCCTATTTTTCTACTTGCATTTTTTACCTGCTTTCAAACTGCTAGGTTGGCAGAAGCTGGGACAAGTCACGGGAGCTCACCCCATTATGCGGCACTAGGGATTCGAACCGCTGAACTTCCGACCTTTCGATCGACAAGCTCAGCGTCTTAGCCACTGAGCCACCACATATTTTGTTCTATATTCTGGACTCCGACTCCAGACAACACAGCCAAGGTCAACGGCTTTAAGCACATTGTGTCCGGGTTTGTCGCGCTGGTTCTTAACTGGAACGAAAGGACACAAAAAGCTACAGAGAACAATAAGAACATAGCTGGCAGGGAGTTAAAAATGAGGCGAAAGGGAGAGAATTTTTGTGACGCTACGGGCTGAGGGTGGAGGGCGGAGAGTAAACGAGGCCAACCTGACTCCCAAGTTCAAAAGGCAAAGGCGTTTAGCTTTACGTTTCAATAATTGAATCGGGGTCGAAGAACTCGCAGGCCTTATCTTGGCTCTCATCAGGCCCCGCAGGCACCCAGCTCTCTCCAGCGCCAGCCCATTACACGGTGATTTGATCCACCTAAAGGCATTTGATAGCCAGCCCTTCTGGAGGGTTGTTGATAGGCATCTGGGTTTGTCTCAGGTGAGCGAAGATGGAAAGCCCGCTTTGCTCCGACCTAAGGCAGCAAGGAAAGTCACCTCACAGGCCTTCATCCGTGGAAGCCACCTTGTGCTGCTGAGAAAACTCTTGTTCTCAGATTCTGCAGCAATAGCACTTGGCAATGAGACTTATACACCGCTTCGTGGTGCTTTTACAGCCCTCTCTAAGCGGTTTACAAGAGTCAGCCTCTCGCCCCCAACAATCTGGGTCCTCGTTTTACCCACCTCGGAAGGATGGAAGGCTGAGTCAACCTTGAGCCTGGTGAGATTCGAACTGCCAAATTGCAGGCAGCCGGCAGTCAGCAGAAGTAGCCTGCAGTACTGCATTCTAACCACTGCGCCACCAGGGCTCCTAATGCAACATCCAATCAGCTACAGCAATGGCAATAGCACTTAGACTTATATACCACTTCACGGTGCTTTTACGGCCCTCTCTAAGCGGTTTACAGAGTCAGCCTCTTGTTCCCCAACAATCTGGGTCCTCATTTTACCAACCTCGGAAGGATGGAAGGCTGAGTCAACCTTGAGCCGGTTAGGATTGAACTGCTGGCAGTCGCAGAATTAGCCTGCAATACTGCATTCCATCCACTGTGCCACCACGGCTCTTCAGCCAATATGATCCAGCATAAAGTCTGTGTTGAAGAAGGGAATCAAACTCTGATTTCAAAACTCTGCAGGTCCTACTTCACCAAGAACTGCAGAACTTCAGAGAGCCACCCGATGCCAGCTCAGAGGCATGCCTAATTTTAAAACCTTTTTTTTTTTTGCCATGGTTGTTAAGCAAATCACTATAGTTATTAAGTTAATCGTGTCATTAAATGAATCCGGCTTCCCCATCAATCATGTTTTGTGCATGGTGAACAGACATTCACGCAAACCCCATTGCAGTTTAACAACGTGTGTTGACTTAGCATGGAGGTGAGAAAAGCTTTGTAAAACCTTTGACAACTTGAAGATGTATGTGGACTTCAACTCCCAGAATTGCCTAGCCAACAAGCTAGGGAACTCTGGGAGTTGAAGTTCATTCATCTGAAAGGTTTGCCAAGGTTTGAGAAACATTGACTGATGGATTTGGTGTATGTTTGGAAATGACCCTTTTGCTTAATTTTAGAGAGGAGAGGAGAGGAGAGGAGAGGAGAAAATAGAGTAGAGAAGAGAAAAGAGAGTGGAATGGAATGGAATGGAATGGAATGGAATGGAATGGAATGGAATGGAATGGAATAGAATAGAATAGAATAGAATAGAATAGAATAGAATAGAATAGAATAGAATAGAATAGAATTTGGAAGGGACATTGGAGGTCTTCTAGTCCAGCCCGCTGCTCAAGCAGGAGAACCTATACCATCTCAGACAAGTGACTGTCCAGTCTCTTCTGAAAAACCTCCAGTGATGGAGCGCCCACAACTTCTGGTGGCAAGCTGTTCCATTGGTTAATTGTCCTCCATGTTAGGAAGTTTCTCCTTAATTCCAGGTTGCTTCTCCCTTTACTTAGTTTCCACCCATTGCTTCTTGCCCTGCCCTCAGGTGCTTTGGAGAATAGTTTGTCTCCCTCTTCTTTGTGGCAGCCCCTGAGATATCGGAAGACTGCTATCATGTCATCCCTAATTCTTCTTTTCTCTAGATGAGCCAAACCCAAATCCTGCAGCCATTTGTCATATGCTTCAGTCTCCAAGTCTTTGATCATTTTAGTTGCTCTTCTCTGAACTTTTCCCAAAGTCTCAACATCTTTTTTGTAGTACGGTGACCAAAATTGGTTGCAGTATTCCAAGTGTATTTGATTGATTGATTGATTGATTGATTGGATTAGGGTTAGGGTTAGGGTTAAGGTCCTTCTCAACAATGGCCTCCAGCAGGTATACTTCTTTAACCCATTTGTTGGATTATTGATTATCCTATCTTGGGAGGCAGCTGTTTCCTCCTTGTTTCCAAATTAACCTATTTCATGCCTGGCATGCTTAATAGCCACTCAGCTTTGTGTAAGCTTTCTAATTTTAAAATACAAATGACAAAGAAGTTGTTTTTGTTCCAGAAATACTCATCCTGGAGAAGAATATTTAGGCCAATTACCTATTTCTCTTTGATTGTTTGGCTGGACAGCCCCACCTAGTGCTCATCCGATGAAACTGTAACAAAGCATGCATCTGGACTTTGCGTAGTATGTTTTGCCCAAAACATGATTTGTTTATTTGTGGTTTGGTCTAGCTACAGTCCAGATAGTTTGTAAAGCATTATGAATCACCTGAAGCCTTGTTGAACCAGGTCCTCTAAGGCACCCAGTTACACATTAGAAATAATTCTTGAAAATAAATAAATACATTTCAAAAAGGCATCTTCCACATAGTTTTGGACTAACGTGTTTCCCCAAAAATAAGATCCTGCCTTATATTTTTTTTGAACCCTGAAATAAGTGCTTGGCCTTATTGGCATGTGCTCAAAAGCCCGATTGGGCTTATTATCAGGGGATGTATTATTTTAGGGGAAAACAGGATGGATGGATGGATGGATGGATGGATGGATAGATAGATAGATAGATAGATAGATAGATAGATAGATAGATAGATAGATAGATAGATAGTACAATACCAAGAATTCCCATCAAGCATGGCCAAAATTGCAGAAAATTATTGAAGATGCTGTCCGAAGGCAACAGGAAAGCCCAGGTTGAGAGACGCTGACTTTAAAAGATGGCATGGTGCCAACGCATGGCTGGTTGAACCATTCATATTCATAAATTAATATTAATAAACATTCCTAGCCTCATTTCTCATACCCGCTAGTCCATCAACCAGGATTTGCAAGATGCAAAAAAAGTGGGCTCATGCAGTGCAACCAAAACCATATTATGATGGCTTAAAGTGATGTGTGAAGTTCTATCTCAGAACTGGATTTTCACCGCTGGACACAGAGCTGAATGCTTCCATCCGAAACTAGTTTTATTGTGAGAATTCAAAAACTCGACCCAACAGGTAAGCTGAGTAGTCTCAGCTGGAGAGCCAGGAAGCAGATGGAGAGCTGTGTTTCTATGTTTGCTTCCTCCTTGTTTTATGAAAACAATGGCACTCGGCAACCAACTCCGACCTTTTGTGGAGCTGTTGTGGCTTTAATCACGGAGGTAAACATATCAAGGAGGCCTCAGGCATTCCTTCACCTTTCCAAAGATGAAGACTTGTCACAGCCTGTTTAGAAGCCACCAAAAGTCACTAATGGCCCCTCTAAAGCCCGTTTCTTTCTGAATGTCCAAAAGGTCCCAATTTGGCTTTCGGCCAGTTCCTGAGTTATGACCTACCAGGCAGCAGAGATCAAATTATCACTTATTAATTCACTTTCTCATAGTTAAAGTTTCCATCCATCCATCTGGACCACAATCCTGGTTTTTCTTGACCGCGTGGCCCTTGCTGCCAAGCTACGTTAAGGGAGAAGGTGGCCCAAGGCAGCTACTGAAGTTTATAATAATGGAAAGAACTTGAATCAAAGTTTCTTGGATCCCATCAAGCTACTAGGTAGGTCTAGTCTAATGAAGAGAAGGACTAGAGGTGATATGATAGCAGTCTTCCAGTAACTTGAGAAACTGTCACGAAGAAGAAGGGGCAGGGGTGAAATCCAGCAGGTTCTGACAGGTTCTGGAGAACCGGTAGTGGAAATTTTGAGCAGTTTGGAGAACTGGCAAATACCACCTCTGGCTGGCCCCAGAGTGGGGAGGGAATGGGGATTTTGCAGTATCCTTCCCCTGGAGTGGGGGAGGGAATGGGGATTTTGCAGTATCCTTCCCCTGGAGTGGGGAGGGAATGGGGATTTTGCAGTATCCTTCCCCTGGAGTGGGGAGGGAATGGGGATTTTGCAGTATCCTTCCCCTGGAGTGGGGAGGGAATGGGGATTTTGCAGTATCCTTCCCCCAGGAGTGGGGAGGGAATGGGGATTTTGCAGTATCCTTCCCCCAGGAGTGGGGTGGCTATATCTATATCAGAAGTGGGCTTCACATAATTTAACAACCGGTTCGCCCAGCACTGAAAATGTGAATTTGTGCGCATGGGTGTGGCCTTCTGCGCATGCGCTTTGCTCTCAGGCACGCAGCTTGCACGCATGCATGCAGCTAAAAAATGCGGCTAAATAGGATGGCATAGTGCCGGGTCAGGTGGGCAGGCCCAACCCCAGGTCACAACTACCGGTTCACCTGAACCAATCTGAACCGTCTGAATCCCACCCCTGATTTAGATCTAGATCTCTAGATTGCTATATCTCTATCTCTCTATCTAACATCTATATCTATTACCTATCTATCATCTATCTATCTATCTATCTATCTTTCTATCTATCTATCTATCTATCTATCTATCTATCTATCTATCTATCTATCCATCTATCTCTATATCTATCAGCTATTTCTATCTTTCTATTATCTATCTGCCTATCTATCTATCTATCTATCATCTATCTATCTATCTATCTATCTATCATCTATCTATCTTATATCTATCTATCTACCTACTTACCTATCTATCTATCTATCTATCTATCTTTCTATCTATCTATCTATCTATCTATCTATCTTATATCTATCTATCTACCTACTTACCTATCTATCTATCTTTCTTTCTTTCTATCTATCTATCTATCTATCTATTTATCTATCTATCTATCTATCTTATATCTATCTATCTATCTTATATCTATCTATCTATCTATCTATCTATCTATCTATCCATCTATCTCTATATCTATCAGCTATTTCTATCTTTCTATTATCTATCTGCCTATCTATCTATCTATCTATCATCTATCTATCTATCTATCTTATATCTATCTATCTATCTATCTATCTATCTATCTATCTATCCATCTATCTCTATATCTATCAGCTATTTCTATCTTTCTATATATCTATCTGCCTATCTATCTATCTATCTATCATCTATCTATCTATCTATCTATCTATCTATCATCTATCTATCTATCTATCTATCTATCTATCTATCTATCTTATATCTATCTACCTACCTACCTACCTATCATCTATCTATCTATCTATCTATCTATCTATCTATCTATCTATCTATCTATCTATCTATCTATCTATCTATCTCTATCTCTATCTCTATCTCTATCATCTATATTTATCTATTATCTATCTATCTATCTATCTATCTATCTATCTATCTATTTATCTATCTATCTCTATCTCTATCTCTATCATCTATATCTATCTATCATCTATCTATCTATCTATCTATCTATCTATCTATCTATCTATCTTTCTATCTTTCTATCTTATATCTATCTACCTACCTACCTACCTATCATCCATCCATCCTTCCGTCTGTCTGTCTGTCTGTCTGTCTATCATCTCTATATGATCTTATATCACACTAAGGCAAAAGACTTGATTTATGAGCCCCAAAAGCTGAGCTCACCCAATACGCTTAAAAGACCAAACATAAAGTGTGAACCCAGTTTCAAAGAACTGGCACAGAATATTAGATTGATATTCGATTGCTAATGTGTTTCATTTACAATTTTCGCTTTCCGCGGCCTCAATGCAATAAAGGATCCTTCTGTCGTGTATTTAATACGAGTGTCTTTGTGTTTACAGGGTGAAACTATCCTATTGACACAAGTATTGGTTTGCAAAGGAAATTCCTGTCACTAACAACAAAGTCCTAGGTGACTAATTTCAGCAATGTATCACAAGAAACAGATCCTTCTAACCTGCTGTTGTGTTCAGGTAAAGAGCAGAACATTATTTATTCAACTTGGACCACAGGTACATAAAACCGGGAATGCTCGCTTGGTTAAAATTGGGCCATTTGCTTTGTGAAATTCTTGCTGGAAGAGGTGGGCAGCTGGGTTGATCACATACACAACTGTAGTGTTTGGTGTGAAGCCCGTTTGTGTAAAATCATCCTGAAACAGGTGTTTTGCAGGTGGTGAAGGGGTGGTGAAAAAAGGCTGTTTGCCAGTGTGAGAATCATTTAGATTTTAAGGCAGGTAATCCTTGCCTTTATGACTGAGATAAGCACTGGGAATTTTGTTGTTAAGTGGTGCAGTCATTAAGCGAAGCATCATCACACGATCATGACTTGTGACCCTCCCCGCCGGCTTCCCCACGGAGTTTTGCATGTCAGATGTCTCCTGAGTAGATCCGAAAGGGGGATCGTGTGATTGCTGCATGCGGCAACTTTCGTAAAAGTGTTGCCAAACACCTAAATTGTGACCGTGTGACAGTCATAAGTGCAAAGACCATTTTTAAGTCATTCCCCCCCACCCAGCATCATAGTAACTTTGAACAGTCGCTATACAGAGAATTGTAAGTCAAAGGACTACCTCTATGCTAATATAGGTTTCTTCAGATTCTATCTAGCAAGGAAAGATCAAGGATGGGAAGGTGGTGGTGGGGAAATGATGGTTTCATTTTAATTAGGAGTGGAATGCTACCGGTTCTATCTGGTTCGGGAAAATTGGTAGTGATAAAAAACCAGTAGTTAAAAAAAAGTACCGGTTCATCTAAAACCGGTATTTCTGACGATCAGCTGTGCCGCATGGTTTGTATTAGCTAGAAAGCAAGAAATCCTGCTTTCTAATGAAGCTAAATCGTGCAGCACAGCTGTTCCTGCCCCTCACTGTTCAATTTACCTAGTGAAGTCTTCTTTTTCTGCGTGAAGCGTGCATTTGGTGTGCACTACGCATGTGTGCATAGCATCCTTTTGGCACATGCTGCGCATGGACAGGCAACGAACCGGTGGCGATCCGCAGAGGATTTCACCACTGGTTTTAAGTAATAATAGAGGGGAATTATTTTATTTTATTTTATTTATTTAAATTTCTATACCGCCCTCCTCCCGAAGGACTCAGGGCAGTGAACAGCCAGAGGATAAAACACATAAATACAAAAAATTAAAATAGAATAAAAATGAATTAAATAATTTGGCTGAATTTAAAATACCCCATAATTTAAAAACAAATTAAAATTTACATTTAAAAAAAAGGGGAGAAGATTTAGGCCAGGCCAGCTTGATGAAATAAAAAAGTCTTAAGCGCACGACGGAAGGTGCGCAGATCCAGGATCCTCCGTATCTCCGGGGGGAGCTCGTTCCAGATCGTAGGTGCCTCTACAGAGAAGGCTCTCCCCCTAGGGGCCGCCAGTCGACATTGTTTGGCCGACGGCACCCGGAGGAGCCCCTCTCTATGGAAGCGTACTGGCCGGTGGGAGGCTATTGGTGGTAGCAGGTGGTCCCGTAGATAACCAGGTCCTAAGCCATGTTTGTAGCTCAGGGTTGAACTGTTGTCTCTGAGCTTGGTTGTTTTCTTGTAGAAATTTCTTACCTAACTAGGTAATGTCATAAGTGCTAGAAGTGAGTGGGGTTTGCTCTCTTTCTATATACAAGTGACTTGCCTTAACAGGGAGCATATAAACAGGGAGCAAATTTCTAGCACTGATTGTCAGCGTTCCAGAAAACCCTCAACTCCAATTAAAAACTCCGAGACAGGCATCTTCTCAAAGTTCCCATTTATTAGAGTATACCAGCACATGTGGGAAAACCCGAATCTGAGAGTTCCAGGTTTTTTCTCAGAAAAATCAAAATTCCAAATCCAGCCCATTGCACCCATCAGTCCATCACATGGCCCAATCACCATCCGTCCCAACTTGAGCCGCCACTTCAACCATTCCTCCTCCAGATGCAGGAACACCATGATCTTGACTGAAAAGAAGAATGCTATTATGTCTAACTACAATCCCTTTACTAAATCAACCCCTCCTACTTTCCCAAGCGCAAGAAGTTGGCAGCGTGGAAGCTTCCGGTGTTAATATGGCTTCCAAAGCTGACACAATCAGGGTCAGAGAGCACCAACATTTCCCCCCTCCTCTTCTCTTTCTCTACTCTGTAAACCCTTCCCTTTTCTAACACTGATGATGTTACCCAGGGGTGGGTTCTACATTTTTTTACTACTGGTTCTGTGGGCGTGGCTTATTTTGTGGGCGTGGCTTGATGGTCATGTGACAATTCTTTAGGATTTAGCAGAGGTACTGGTCTACCAGGCTTTTAACTGCTTGCAGAGCTGTACCAGTCTACCCATTTATTTTTGCAAGCACTGGTCTACCCATTTATTTTTGCAGGCACTGGTCTACTCATGTATTTTTGCGGGCACTGGTCTACTCATTTATTTTTGCAGGCACCAGTCTATTCATGTATTTTTGCAGGCACTGGTCTATCCATTTATTTTTGCAGGCACCCGTCTACTCATTTGTTTTTGGAGGCACCGGTCTACCACCAAACTGCCTTTTACCACTGATCAGCTGTAGGGCGGCCCTTTGAAGCCCCGCGGCAAAAGTTTAAACAGTTTTTTTCCTTATAGTCCATCAGCTGGGACTCAGGAGGCAGCAATAGATTGGGGGTGGGGCCAAATAAAAGGTAAGAATAACGCGGGGGGCGTGGGAGGGAACCGGTTTGGTGGCGTCATATCATCACTGCTACCAGCTCGGCCGAACCGGGCCAAACTGGGAGGAACCCACCACTGATGTTAACTAGTTGGGTAATGAAAGATCTGCAAGGAAACAACCAAGCTCAGAGAGCACCAACATTTCCTTCTCCTCCACCACCTCCTCCTCCTCTCTTTCTCTTCTACTCTTTCTCCTCTACTCTGACCCCTCAGTTTTAAGTACATTCCATCTGAGTGGAAAATTTCATTTCACTTGGAATCTTCTGCATCTAAAACTGTGGCCTTTACCCACTCCCAATGTAGTCTTCAGAACTATCTCCCCACCTCCCCGAAACCTTTCCCAGATTGTATGATGATTTATAAGCACTATGTTGATGGGCTGTTGTTGTTTTTTTTTGAAAGGATGGATTATACCTTGGAAGACACGCAACGCAAGGAGAAGCTTTTAAAGACGGTTTATACCCTGCAGGTCAAATCAGACTCCACTTTTCAGAAGGCTAGCCCTCTCCTGACCAACCATCCAGGCATGGGCATGGTGACTGACCACCAAGTTCACCAACTGATGGAGAAAGCCAGGGTCATCTGCCATGACCTCGACAATATCAAAAACCACCTTTACTATCGGCAAGATGATCTCGTCCGGAGGATCTCAAATCCCAACCGGAACCACTACGGAGCAGTGGGTGGAATTCACTGCTCCCCAGATGGGGTGGTGTACATCACTACGGAGAACGCGCCCAGAGTGGACATTCTTAATCGCTCTGGCCAGGTGTTTCGGTCCATCCCCTGCGTGGAATGGAAGAAGGAGGTTTTTTTACCCGAGGACGTGGCCATCACCAGAACTGGGATGGTGGCTGTCACAGACATGCTGAACGGAACCGTCCATGTCTTCAACGACCGCTCCAAATTCTCCAAGGGGGAATGGCTCAGAATTGGGAAGTTCCGCTCCCCCAGAGGGATTGCCGTCGAAGCATCAGGAAGGATACTGGTGGCTGACTACACCGAAGGAAAAGTCCACATCTTTGCCCTGGACCACGCTTTCAAGATGCAGAATGCTCATTCCGTCTCCAACTTAAGCGGCCCACGCTACGTCTGCAACATCCCCGATGGGGGGTTTGCGGTGAGCGAAGAATGTGGGGACGTCAAACTCTTCGACAGCAGCCACAAGCTGGTCTCTTCCGTCAGCAGCAAATACGGCCACCGTTTTGGCAACCCTACTGGCATCTGCGCCGATAAGGAAGACAATATTATAGTGGCGGACGAACAGCGACAGAAAGTGCACCTGTTTCCTAGGAACGGATCTCCAATCTGTCTAGTTTCTAAAGGTCTCCTGAGACCAACCGGCGTCGCCTGTGCCACTGACGGCTCCCTTTTTGTCACCGACAGTGGGGACAACGATGTCAAAGTCTTCAAATATCGCGTGAGGCCCCATTACCATCCCGACGTTATACCTGGTGACAATCCAAGTTATTCACCTCGAGGGAAAGCAGGGTAGGATCCTCTACCGTCTTCTAGGGGTAGTCCTCGACTTACGACCGCAACCAAGCCCGAAATATCTGTTGTTAAGCAAGAGAGCTGTTAAGTGAGCTTTATACCCTATTTTGCGACCTTTCTTGCCGCCGTTGTTAAGTGAATCACTGCAGCCGTTCAGTTAGCCACACGGTTGTTGAAGTGAATCTGGCTCCCCCAACTGACTTTGCTTGTCCGAAGGTCGCAAAAGGGGATTACGTGACCCTGGGACACTGCAACCGTCATAAATATGAAGCAGTTGACATGCACCCGAATTTTGATCTCGTGACCCTGGGGATGTGGCAAACGGCATAAGTGTGAAAAATGGCCACGTGTCACTTTTTGTCAGTGCCGTCGTAACTTTGAACCAACAAACAGTTATAAGTTCGAGAAGTACTTGTATTACTTTTACAAATGCATCCATTTCTTTGCCACTTTATCTCATCAAATCTGCATTCACTTGTTCAATCAACAGTAGGTCAACCTATTCTGGGGAGGAGCTATAATTTTTCAGTGATTCATGGAGAAGACCTACCCCAAAGAAAAAAAAAGAACCTCAACAAATGACACCCGAAAGGAGAGAACCTAAAACTGGTGCTAAATGGACAGCTTGTCCAATAATTAACTTTTTCTTCCTTAATGGCCTTTTTTTGTAGGGAGAAAAATGTCAGTTGGGACCGTGGGAGAAGGAGGTTGGATGACAAGCGGACTTTTTTTACTTCCTATTTTTTTAACATGGCACCGATGAAAGTATTTTGATCTGGAAAGAGAGACGATGCCCAATTTTTAGCTTTTAGGGTGGTTTTGGTCAGGAGGAGCTTACTGGGAATGGAAGATGATGGTGATTGGTGATATGGCTCTAAGGTGGTGATTAGGAAGCATGGAATGGAAGAGAAAGGAGACTGATTTTAAAGGTAGAGACAAGAGAAGGTTAAAGAGTGAATCTAATTGAGGACTGTGTCCCTACCAGGGCATCTGCAGAGAATGTGGACAAAACAAGCAAGGTTTATGGCAGCGGTGTCCAACCTTAAGACCTTAAGACCTGTGGATTTCAACTCCCAGAAGTCCCCAGCCAGCATGTTGGCACTTGGTCTCTGGGAGTACTCTGAATGGTAGTATATAGAGGATTTTTAGAAAGAGAGAGTGATGGGCAAAGGGAGGTATAGAATAGAATAACAGAGTTGGAAGGGACCTTGGGGGTCTTCTAGTCCAACCCCCTGCTTAGGCAGGAAACCTTACAACACTTCAGACAAATGGTTATCCAACCTCTTCTTAAAAACTTCCAGTGTTTGGAGCATTCACAACTTCTGCAGGCAAGTTGTTCCGCTGATCAATTGTTCTAATTGTCAGGAAATTTCCCCTTAGTTCTAAATTGCTTCTCTCTTTGATGAGTTTCCACCCATTGCTTCTTGTCCTGCCTTCAGGTGCTTTGGAGAATAGTTTGACTCCCTCTTCTTTGGGGCAGCCCCTGAGATATTGGAACACTGCTATCATGTCTCCCCTACTCTTTCTTTTCATTAAACTAGACATGTAAACTAGTATGATGGGAGGAACTGGCAGATTATAGAACAGGCAGTTGAAAATTTAAGGCATCCCTTCTTCTGACCAGAAGAGAATCCCAATCTCCAGGTATTATTTGAAACCTGGCTGGGCAAGGATGATGAGTTCCCCTCTTTGAAATGAGCCTTTCAGCCATCACCCCCCAGATCAGGATAGCAATCCTAGGACAATGTTTCTCAGCCTTGACAGTTTTCAGATGAGTGGACTTCAACCCCCAGAATTCCTCAGCCAGCCATGAATCTGATTTGCATCATACCTGTATTTTGTTGTTTAAAACAAATATTGTAGAGTTGTATTTGTAAGCCACTTGTTTGACTAAGCCAGCATCGAAGCATAAATAAATATAGTAAGCCTGAAAGTGGCTGTATTATTTGTAAATTTGTAAGATTACTCTTCTGTGTTATTATCTGCTGATCTGTTGTTTTTAATTGTTTTTCATTTTATTCATGCCAGTTTATTTTTTGCTGTTTTCAACTTGTAAACTGCCTAGAGTCTCACAAATGAGATGGCAGCTGTATAAATTTCAACTTAAACACACAAACAACAGTTGATATCATATGAAACTAGCCAATATAGAGAAAATGTTTTTTTCCCTTTCATCCCAAAGATTTAATGCTTATCCCCAGCAACATTTTGATAAAAAAATACACTGTTAACATTTTGTTTTCTCCCAAAAGTATAGTGAGCATATTTTCTTGCAAAGAAAAGTAAGGGCAGACCTGATGAAAGAGCAAATCTGAAAGAGGTACATAAATATAAGGTGACCAACTTTTTTACAATGAGAAGGAGGACACAAATAAATTGAAGAAAAACGTGTACATGTGTGCCGTGTTGTGTTTCGGTAAGAAGTAAACAAAGCCACTTGTGCACGGCGCACTCTCAAAACAATTCTCCTGTGAAGAGCGCATGCATCTCATAATTGCGTCTCGCCACACTGTACCGAACCTTGACAAATCGTCATGTCAAATACAAATATGTCACATCACATGCAACGGATCGGATCAGATCAGCATTGATCAAATAAGGAGATTTACAGATTAGTCTTCAAATATCGAAAAGGAGGACATGTAGGAGGACACTTTTCGAGAGAGGACAGAATTTACAAAAGAAGGACTGTCCTCCCTAAACGAGGACGATTGGTCACCTTAATAAACATAAAAGCAATGTTTGTTTATAACTTTGCTTAACAAAGAAAAATTCAAGAGCAAAACCTTTATAAAAATGTGTATTCTAATATCCAAAAAGCTTTAAAAGCTATGAAGTTATAAGGAGCAAGGATTAAAAAGGATTTCTACAGCCCAGACTGTACCATTAGTCGAGTAAAATGATCATCATAAGAAAGGACAAAAGTGAGTTTCTGAAAATAAAAATAAATAAATAAATAAATCTAAAGGATAACTTTCTGTAATAAAAGACTGCCTTTTATAATAAAAGACACACTGTCATGGTACCAAAGACAGATATTAAAGAGGGAAATTGTGTAGGGGGGAGATTCTGAGCCATTCTGTAGAGTTATCAGCTTCCAACAAAACGTTTTGGAGGCAGACAAGGCTAATCCTCAAAGAGATAACAGTTGAGATGGCATGAAGCTTATCAGGAAATTGGAAGATGCAGACCTGGCTTTGAAAGGAAGCTATGTGTTCTGCCCAGGGTGTGGACAGCAACGGTTAATTTCGCTTTGCAGAGTAAAGGCTCTTAGGGCAGTAAGGAGAGAGCATTTGGCAATCTGAAAGGCCGCTACCAGAGCTTCCACTTCCTTCATTACTGCACATTTAATCAGGTCAGTATGAAACTATATAAGATTCTACATTTAGGCAAGAAAAACCAAAATGCACAGGTACAGTGTATGTGGTACCTCGCTCAGTAGCTGTAACTGTGAGAGGGATCTTGGGAGTCCTAGTGGACAACCATTTAGATATGAGCTAGCCCTGTGCTGCAGCTGCCAAAAAAGCCAACACAGTTTTGGGCTGCATAAACAGAGGGATAGAATCAAGATCACGTGAAGTGTTAATATCACTTTATAAGGCCACATTTGGAAGCCTGCATCCAATTTTGGTCGCCACGATGTAAAAAAAAGATGTAGATGAAACTCTAGAAAGAGTGCAGGGAAAAGTAACAAAGATGATTAGGGGACTGGAGGCTAAAACATGGTTGCTGGAATTGGGTATGTCTAGTTTAATGAAAAGAAGGACTAGGAGAGATATGATAGCAGTGTTCCAATATCTCAGGGGCTGCCACAAAGAAGAGGGAGTCAAACTATTCTCCAAAGCACCTGAGGCAGGGCAAGAAACAATGGGTGGAAACTCATCAAGGAGAGAAGCAACTTAGAACTAAGGAGGAATTTCCTGACAGTGAGAACAAAGAAATCAATGGAACAACTTGCCTCCAGAAGTTGTGAATGCTCCAACACTGGAAGTTTTTAAGAAGATGTTGGATAACCATTTGTCTGAAGTGGTGTAGGGTTTCTTGCCGAAGCAGTGGGGTTGGACTAGAAGACCTCCAAGATCCCTTCCAACACTGTTATTCTAAATGATAAAGAGTTCTAAATTCTAAACAAAAGCCAAATTCATGCCTGATGTAAGGAAATCACGTTTCATACGTGTGTAGATTGTTAGTGAGCTTTCGTGGCTGTAGTGTCTGTATTGTGGCATCAAATTATATGCTGCACCGGGGTAAATGTGCAAGTTCTGTTCTATGGTTGTACGCATGGGTGTAATTAATCTGCATATGAATTTAATATTGTTGGGGGTAATTATGCTGACTCTGTAAATTGCTTAGATAGGGCTGTAAAGCACTGTAAAGAGGTATATAAGTCTACTGCTATTGCTATATTGCTATAAGCTACAAAAGGTCATTCAAGCCAAAACCAAGTTGCTTAAAAATAAAGTCATACTGTAGTTTGTTTCCTTATTTTCACTATGGTAAGAAATGTAAAGTAAACATTTTAACAGTTCAGGTGGTTCTGTATTTGTAGGATGGAAGAAAACATCTTTTGAGAACTTTCAGAAAGATTTTTTTAACTAATTTGACTAATGTAGTGTGACTTTTATATTCTTTTTTTATTTCAGTCTTTCTGAAACTTGACATTTGGTCTTGAACTCCCAGAATTCCCAGGCCAGCTGGCTGGGGAATTTGGGAAGTTGTAGTCAGTGGTGAAATCCAAATTTTTTTACTACTGGTTCTGTGTGCGTGGCTTGGTGGGAGTGGCTTGGTAGGCGTGGCAGGGGAAGGATATTGCAAAATCTCCGTTCCCACCCCACTCCAGGGAAAGGATACTGCAAAATACCCATTTCCTCCCCACTTTGGGGCCAGGTAGAGGTAGTATTTGCCGGTTCTCTGAACTACTCAAAATTTCCGCTACCAGTTCGCCAGAACCTGTCAGAACCTGCTGGATTTCACCGGGTTGTAGCCCACACATCCGCCAAATTTGAGAAACACTGCATTTGAATGTCTCCAAAAGGGACAAACTTCCACTTCTTCGTTTGCTTTCAGTAGATGTGTTTCTGAGCGGCAATGTGTGGAAAGCTCAGCATTATCAGGATAGCGATCCGCCTTTATTGTTAATGTTTAACATTTTATTATTGGTTATTAACTTTATTATTATTGATATTGTCCATCAGTAACAATAACGGTGGGTGGAAAAAAAAACCCTCAAGGAGCAAAACTAAAAGAGCAGCTTTTTTTTAATTTTTGCCATAAAAATGGGTCGAACTGCTGGTGAGGGCGAAGAAAGGAGTAGTAAAAAAAATCTAAAATAAACAGCTGGATCAATTTAAAAAAAAAACAGGGCCATGGGGAACGCCTCCTTTCTTTCCGCAAAAGGGAAGCTCGATGAGGCGGAACTCAATATAGGCGGACGCAGGAGGTCGCCGGAAGTCTATTAGGCAAGGACCGCCCGGACGGACGTTTTTGAGCGACGGACCGCGTCTCCTAGAAACCATCCAGAAGCACCCGGAAGTGGGTTGAATGTCAAGCGGCGACAGTTCTTTTCTCCCTCTTCCGCGTTTTGGGGGGCAGCAAAAGCGAGGGGGGGTAAGTTTGGGGGACAAATGGGGGGCTCTCCACTGAAAAAGGGGAAATAGCGGTAGCCCCCCCTTTTTTGGGGCCTTGGATCACTGCAGTACCTGTCGAAGCATAGGCACGCTTAAACTGAGTTTGTTGAATAAACCACCATGGGGATGGGTGGGTCTCTCTCTTGGGATGCTGGGCTTTTCACCGGCGTAGAATCCCCGTGGGTGTGGGTGATGGGGTCGCCTGATGCAAGAATCAAACCCAGGGATGGTGGTGGGTGGGCTGTGTGAATTGGGCCACTAAGGGTTCCCTAGTTCAGGGGTCTCCAACCTTGGCAACTTTAAGCCTGGTGGACTTCAACTCCCAGAATTCGCCAGCCAGCTGGCTGGGGACAGTGGTGAAATTCAAATTTTGTTACTATCGGTTCTGTGGGCGTGGCTTGGTGGGAGGGGCAGGGAAAGGATACTGCAAAATCTCCATTCCCTCCCCACTCCAGGGGAAGGATACTGCAAAATCTCCATTCCCACCCCACTCCAGGGGAAAGATACTCCAAAATCTCCATTCCCACCCCACTCCAGGGGGAAGGATACTCCAAAATCTCCATTCCCAACCCACTCCAGGGGAAAGATACTGCAAAATCTCCATTCCCAACCCACTCCAGGGGAAGCATACTGCAAAATCTCCATTCCCACCCCACTTCTGGGGAAGGATACTGCAGAATCTCCATTCCCATCCCATCCCACTCCAGGGGAAGGATACTGCAAAATCCCCATTCCCTCTCCACTCCTGGGGGAAGAATACTGGGAGATGTTTGGAGTGAGCTCTTGAGGAGACAGTCCTTGGCATGGAGTCTTTGGGGAGGATCTTTTGGTTGGAGTCTTTGGAAAATATATTTGGGGTGGGATTTTTGCCCTAGGTCTAGGACCTTGAAAGACAATGTTTGTGGGGAATCTTTGGGGTGGATCTTTGAACTGGTTTTTTTGGGGGGAGGATCTTTGGGGAGAGATGTTTGGGGTGGGCTCTTCAGGAGCAAGTACTTGGCATAGAGTTTTTGAGGAGGATCTTTGGGTTGGAGTCTTTGGAAAAGATATTTTAGAGTCTTTAGAGTCTTTAAATATTGGAGTCTTTAGAAAAGGATCTTTGGGCTGGTTTGATGTATGAAATGGGATCTTTGGGGTAAGTTGTATGGGGTGGGGTCTTTAGGGGGAGACCAGCTCTTGCAAGGAAGCCTGAACATGAATGATGACACAGGGAGTTATATGCACCTGCCCAGTTAAGGGCTTAGTCACTTGCTTAAAGGGAAGGTAATAAACCCAGGCTGAAATGGAGGCATTAAAGTCTATGACAGCTTATGATGCAATTCAGGGTTTGTTTGGTTTTTGTTTTTTGTTTTTTAAGGCTCAGGAGACTTTTCAGATATTTGCTTTTTTTTTTTTAATTAGGCGACACCCTGGGTGGTTTGTGTTACAATAAATAGAATCTGGAAAAGAAAAGCAAGGTGGCAAATTCAATAAACCACATGTCCCACCAACATCTACCACTCCTTGAAGTCCTCCAAGCACCCTGATCCAACAGTGAGATTTTTATTTATTAATGCCTTCCCTCTATGAAGCTTGGGCAAATGGACTCTTAACAAATGTTCGTTCTTCAACTATTAAGTAAAATGTTACCCTTTAGAACTGCTGAACGTCCCTTTTTTTTAAAAAAAAAATCCCTTTAACTTTTAAAAACTTCACTTATTATGGTTCAGCCAGATGTTTAGACTAGATTTAGTATTTTTATCCACCTATTGAGTCTTTCTCAAAGACCTGAAAAAGGCAAATGTTGTTGTTTGATGGTGTTAAACAGAGGTCTTCAAACTTGGCAGCTTTAAGACTTGTGGACTTGAACTCCCAGAATTCTCCAGCCAGCATAGCCAGGTTTTCCTAATAAGGCATAATAGAAGCATTTCTACAGTAAGACTTTTTACCTACAGTGTGATTTCTACATTTTCCGACGCTCACTTTCGTCGTGCAAGGTTTTCCCTGGCAAATACGTTGTGGCTGTGAAAAAAGCAGACTAGGGGATTCGGTTGTAATATATACAGGGTAGGCTTGAGTAAAATGAAGCACGAGTATTAGTGCTCACATGCTTTAAGTACCAATATTTTACAGGAAAATAGCCCTGTTGCATACTTGGCAGGAATCAATTTTGCAAAGCACAAATTAATAGAATAGAATAGAATAAGAATAGAATAGAATAGAATAGAATAGAATAGAATAGAAAATAGAATAGAATAGAATAGAATAGAATAGAATAGAATAGAATAGAATAGAATAGAATAGAATAGAATAGAATAAACAGAGTTGGAAGGGACCTTGGAGGTCTTCTAGTCCAACCTCCTGCTTAGGCAGGAAACCCTACACCACTTCAGACAAATGGTTATCCAACATCTTCTTAAAAACTCCCAGTGTTGAAGCATTCACAACTTCTGGAGGCAAGTTGTTCCACTGATTAATTGTTCTCACTGTCAGGAAATTTCTCCTTAGTTCGAGGTTGCTTCTCTCCTTGATTAGTTTCCACCCATTGCTTCTTGTCCTGCCCTCAGGTGCTTTGGAGAATAGCTTGACTCCATCTTCTTTGTGGCAGCTCCTGAGATATGGGAACACTGCCCTCATGTGTCCCATAGTCCTTCTTTTCATTAAACTAGACATAGCCAGTTCCTGCAACCGTTCTTCCTATGTTTTAGCCTCCAGTCCCCTAATCCTCTTTGTTGTTCTTCTCTGCACTCTTTCTAGAGTCTCAACATCTTTTTTATATCGTGACAACCAAAACTGGATGCAGGATTCCAAGTGTGGCCTTACCAAGGCCTTATGAAGTGGTATTAACACTTCACGTGATCTTGATTCTATCCCTCTGTTTATGCACCCTAGAACTGTGTTGGCTTTTTTGGCAGCTGCTGCACATGGCTGGCTCATATTTAAATGGTTGTCCACTAGGACTCCCTCTCAAAGTTACTACTATTGAGCAAGGTACCACATATACTGTATCTGTGCATTTTGTTTTTCTTGCCTAAATGTAGAACCTTACTTTTTTCACCATTGAATTTCATTTTGTTTGATAGTGCCCAATGTTCAAGTCTGTCAAGATCCTTCTGTATCTTAAGCCTATCTTCTGGAGTGTTGGCTATTCCTGCCAGCTTGGTCTCATCTGTAAAATTGTCTAATATTTATTCCCCCCCCCCTCCAATGTCTTATTTTCCTGGCAGTTGATCTCTTCAGCTAAGCAATGGTATGTCTAAGGTGTTTTCAATGCTTGCTACTCCTAAAATTTGCTGGTGGGAGTGTTACCGCACTGTGACTCTTATTCCAGTTCCTTCCTCCTGAGTCTGGAGATCAATTGACTCTCCAATATTTACCCACACTGACAGCTGCCCCACATTCCTAAGTGAATGGGGCTGAAGAGGAAATAGCCCCTTCCCAGAAACTGTAGTCCTTCTCTTCTTATAAACTCCACATACATGGTAAAGACCATGTATCAACCAGACACCTCTTTTCTGCCTCAAGAGACTGGGAATTCATCCATAAACAGACACTGCCTCCTGCGACACCATTTGACAGGCTGATATTTCTTTTTTTCCCCCCTGGATAAGTCAAGGCATTTTCAAGGCAAATGAATTGTCCCTTTTCCAGGGCAAAATGTCAGAGATCAGCTGTACTTTTATTTTAACAGAAAGGAAGTCGGCAACAACTTCCTTTTCTGCATATATGACTTCCAATCTACCTGCTGTAAAAACCAACATTTCCATTATGCTGATTGCACCTATAAAAACAGCCTAAAGGTTGGTGGGTTTTTTTTTCCCCCCTGCATGACAACCTTGGAATGGTGCTGAAGGACAGCAAACGACTGGATACTGTAAACTGATCTTATGGACTGTAATGTTTATGTTTTGATATTTAAGTTATTTAAAAAGATAAGAATTCGTCCATTCCAAGGTCACGTGTTTTGATGTCACCTTGGATTTTAGAGTGAAAACAGAGTGATTGATTGGGACAGAAAATTCAGATAAGGTGATACTTATCCCTCTTTTGTGCCTTCCACCTAGGAGATCCTGCAGTCCTTTGTAAAACCTCCTACATGCCACAGGCAAAATCGCTAGCTTTTGTTTTTTTAAACTTCTTCTCTCTCCTTGTTCTTCTGATGCAGGAACCTAAAAGACAAATCTTTTGTTAGAAGGGAGGTAAGTGATGGGACCAGTGTCATTTGTTAAGCGCGCTGGTGTTGGATTGCTGCTTGCTTATTTTGTTGTTGTTGTTAGTTGCGAATTCGTGTCCGACCCATTGCGACCCCACAAACAACATTCCTCCAGGCCTTCTTGTCCTCCACCATCCCCTGGAGTCCATTTAAGCTCACGACGACTGCTTCAGTAACTCCATCCAGCCACTTCCTTCTCTGCCGTCTCCTTCTTCTTTTGCCCTCTATCGTTCCCAGCATTCGGTTCTTCTCCAGGGAGTCCTTCCTTCTCATTAGGTGGCCAAAGTATTTGAGTTTCCTCTTCAGGATCTGGCCTTCTAAAGAGCAGTCAGGGTTGATCTCCTCTAGGACTGACCGGTTGGATCACGTATTATTTATTTATTATTTATTTTGTATGGCGTCACAACACAGCATAGATTCACAAAAAAAAAAACCCCGCATATAAAATGTCTATCAAAATATAAAACATCAGAGCAGTTGAATTGGTTTTTTTAAAAGAAACGCACAGCATGGGTGACGGATACAATTGCGCATAAAATTAAATTATGTATGAGCAGTTACTCATGGGGTGGCTAAGCCTGTGTCGTGTAGCGGGTGCCATGTAGACTGGCCTCCTCATGGGACACCCCAGGCAACGCGACCTTGTCACGGCTAAATAGTCTCTATTTTCCGGCTGCTGGATCTCACCAGGATCCCCCAGCAAGAAGAAAGCAGAAGGAATTCGGAAAATACTGGATGGCTGCTAAAAAGTACAGTAACTGGGAGAGTACAAATGCTGGCCTTGAGAACTTTTATGACTGCTGCCTTGTGCCTTCTTTGTAGGATTGTACTGGTGAAAATAAGCTGCTGATAATGAAAAAGCTTAAGGTACTATTTTTTGAGGGTGGAGGGCAGCCAGGCTATTGCTAAAGACATTGGAGCCTTCTACGATTAAATGCTGGGTACTCCAGCTGGGCTCTCTATAGAAACTTCCCATTAAGAACTTAATTGTTTTGTTTTTTAACTGCAAAAATGCGGGTACGTAACACCCCATGTGTGCTACGGTTTAGAAAGGAGTCCTGTATTTCTTGTTTCTGAGGGCGGCATCAGCATCGTGACTTTAAATGCCTTTGGAATAAAAAAAACCCCAGCATTTGACTTAATATCTCCGATGAAATGCTTGCTTTTAATTAGACCACCCAGTTCTCTCTTTCAAGAGAATCCCATTTTCTGAACCTATTAAATTGCAACCGGCTTTTGAGCCGATTCATTAATCTCATCTGCCGTGGCAGTCCTTGTGCTTGTTAGTTTAATCATCTGATTAATTAACTTAATTGTCCCCGTGGCAGCTGTACAAAGAAATGCCACTTTATCCACACTTCATTGTTGGAAAATAATAACAATTGGAGACCCTTTGGCTCCCCTTTGTCCTGTAATAAGCGATTATCTGAGAGATGGTTGTCTAACATATTTATTCTGTTATATTTATATTCCATCGTCGTACAACTCAAGAAAACATACATAAAGTTCCCGTCTCCTCTTTTTCTCACAAAACAACCCCGTAAAGCAGGGGTGGGTTCTAAATTTTTTTACTACTGGTTCTGTGGGCATGGCTTATTTTGTGGGCGTGGTTTGATGGTCATGTGACAAACAATTCTTTAGGATTTAGCAGAGGTACTGGTCTATCAGGCTTTTAACTGTACGGCTGTACTGCTTGCAGAGCCGTACCGATCTACCCACTTGTTTTTGGAGCGCACTGGTCTACCACCACACTGCCTTTTACCGCTGATCAGCTGTAGGGTGGCCCTTTGAAGTGCCGCGGCAAGAGTTTAAACAGTTTTTTGCCACTCTGCCACCACCAAGAGCATCGGAAACCGCTTTCAGGCAGCTTGGCCTCAATTGCCAATCTACCACCATTGAGCGGTTTACAAGGAGCGGATCGGTTCTAGCCGATCAGTTGGGAGGCTTCTTGGCTTCTCAATTTAAAGCTACAGTGTCTTGTTTTTTCTCTCTCTCTCTCACTGTCAAGTGAGCCCTGATTTTTTCCTTCCAGCCGATCAGCTGGGACTCGGGAGGCAGTGAATAGATGGGGGCGGGGCCAGGCAGAGATGGTATTTACCGGTTCTCCAAACTACTCAAAATTTCCACTACCGGTTTGCAAGAAGCAGGGAGAACCGGTAGCAACCCACCACTGCTGTAAAGTAGGTTGGATTTTGAGAGAGAGAGAGAGAGAGAGTGGCTGACCCAAAATCACCGGCTGGTTTTTCTAAGCTCAAAATTTATGTTGCTAAGCGAGACAGTGTTACGTGAACTTTGTCCCATTTTACGCCTTTTCTTGCCACGGTTGTTAAGGGAATCTCGGCAGTAGTTAAGTTAGTAACGTGGTTGTTAAGGGAATCTGATTTTCCCATTGGCTTCGCTACTCACCAAAGGGGATGACGTGACGCGGGGACACTGCAATCGTCATAAACATGAACCAGTTGCCGATTTTTGATCATGTGACCCTGGGGGTGCTGCAACGGTCGTAAGTGTGAAAATTGGACATAAGTCACTTTTTTCAGTGCCGCTATAACTTTGAACGGTCAGTAAATGAACTTCTGTAAGTTGAGGACCACTCGTACATAGTACAGAAGAGCCCAACCTGGGCAGGCAGCAATGTATTTCACATTCAATGAGCTCTTTTTCTTAGAAAGTTTCAGAATGGAATAGGAATAGGAATAGAATAGAATATAGAGTAGAGTAGAGTAGAGTAGAGTAGAGTAGAGTAGAGTAGAGTAGAAATAGGAATAGAATAGAATAGAATAGAATAGAATAGAATAGAATAGAATAGAATAGAATAATAGAACAGAACAGAACAGAACAGAACAGAATAGATAAAAACAGAACAGAGTACAGTAGAGTAGAGTAGAACAGAACAGAACAGAACAGTACAAAAAGGAATAGGAATAGAATAAGAATAGAATAGAATAGAATAGAATAGAATAGAATAGAATAGAATAGAATAGAATAGAATAGAATAGAATAGAATAGAATAGAATAGTTGGAAGGGACCTTGAAGATCTTCTAGTCCAATCCCATACTTAGGCATATTCTCTTATTTTTCCAGACAGAATTTTGATCTTTGGAGCAATCGAAAACTCTGCCCCAACTTCTGTGTGTTGGCCATTTATATTTTTGGAGTTGTTATTGTGTCTTCTAGTTACGCATGCCAAATCTTTCAGCTGTCCTCGATAAGACTTTAGGATTATTTTCTTTTGACCTTTCCTAATCCTCCTAGTTTTTGAATAATCCAGCTGTTCTCCTGTCACATACTGTCCATAGCAACAGCAACAAAAGTACTTCCTTCAGTTAGTGGAAGGCTTAAACTCTTTTTAATTTGCTCCAGTGCATGAATTCGGAAAGCAGCTTGTTTATTTCCTTTTTTTTTTTCCCTGTTCCCTTATCCATTTCAGATTTCCACATCATGGCGTTTAAGGTATTTTTCCCTCTTTGCTGCGCTTCAGCCGAAAGTGGCCTTCTGATTGGACGGTGGATTCCAGAACAGAACTCCATTGTTATCCTGGCTGTGATCCATTTCCCTTTGATCCCAGGTCAGGTGAAGCAGTATCTCTCCAAAATGCAACACGCCACCCGAGTCCAACTGTCCGTATTGGGTTCTTGGACCAACAGCCAAGAAAAGCAGAGTTTGCAAAGGTTCCTGGAAGATCTGGGCACCATTTTTTCCCAGGGCCCCTGGATCCAACTCGGCAGGCAAAAAGACAGAAAGTTTTGGAACTGTTTGGCTACCTGGAAGGAATCCAGCAGCAGCAACAGCAGCGTCGTCGAAGAAATCATCGTGATCTATTACGACCAGCGTAAAGTGATGCTGTCGCAGCTTCACCCTCCTAACAATTACGGGGTTGCTTCCGATCAGAAGGCGGCCGATGCTTCCAAGCTAGCTGCCGTGTTTGACACTGTGGCAAAAAGCAAATTGCTGTTCATGAAGGACCGGTATGACGAGGGACCCATCAGGCTCACCCACTGGCAGTCTGAAGGGGTGGAGGCCAGCATTATCGTAGAACTGTTGAAACAGGTGTCAGTCCCTGCATGTGTGCTGATAACACTCCTCCTTTCCTTCGTGGCTGGCATCTGTAAAAGCAGGTAAGTGGGTTGAACGCAGGGGTAAAATCCAGCAGGTTCTGACAGGTTCTGGAGAACCAGTAGCAGAAATTTTGAGCAGTTCGGAGAACCGGTAGCAGAAATTTTGAGTAGTTTGGAGAACTGGCAAATACCATCTCTGGCTGGCCCCAGAGTGAGGTGGGAGTGGAGATTTTGCAATATCCTTCCCCCAGGAGTGGGGAGGGAATGGGGATTTTGCAATATCTTTCGCCCAGGAGTGGGGAGGGAATGGAGATTTTGCAGTATCCTTCCCCCTGTCACACCCACCAAGCCACATCATGCCCACCAAGCCACGCCCACAGAACCGGTACTAAAAAAATTTGGATTTCACCACTGGTTGAACGGGAAGAAAGGATAGGAAATCATAGGATTCAAAAATCGGGGACTAGTTTTTGAGCAGTCAGCAATTCCAGATTTTAACTACCGTGTTTCCCCGAAAATAAGACCTGGTCTTATATTAATTTTTGCTCCAAAAGACGCATTAGAGCTTATTTTCTGGTTAGGTCTTATTTTGGGGGAAATACGATACTAAATCTGGCTGACAATCTTAATGGGGGCTTATTTTACGGGTAGGGCTTATATTATGAGCATCCTGAAAAATCATGCTAGAGCTTATTTTCCGGTTGGGTCTTATTTTCGGGGGGAAAAGGGTTAGTTTGTAAATTTTCAGTTCTACATGCTTTACCCATCCATCCATTCGTGATTTTTTTTTTTAATTGCAGTATTTTAATTCCTTTTCTCTTGTTCCGCTGTTAAAATGCTGGTTCGTATTTTAGTTTAAGCTTCTTCCCCTTTTCTTGGCTCATGACGTTTTTCTGTTACGTCATGAAAGGCAAGAGTGGAATTAATACGTTTCAGTTTAAGTTCTGTAATGTCAGAAATTTTTCCAAAAAAATAAAAAGATGGATGGGGGGTGGGGGGGAATTGGGAACTTTTTCCTAGAGAGCTCACCTTTAGTAGAAGGGAGTAGACTCTACCTATTCGCTTGCTGTTGAAACATCGGCGTTTCCAGTAGCAAATGTGCGAAAGGAAAACAAAGAGGTAGATCTTGTTGCCAACCTAATTCTCGATTCTTTCGTATTAATGGGTGACTTAAAACAGTGCTCTTCAAATCATGTCTGATCACTTCTTTCCTGGAGGACAGAAATCCCAGGTGCGAAATAGACTTTTGCAATAAAATGGATTGATTGTTTGTTTATATCCCACCTTTATTATTTTTATAAATAACTCAAGGTGGCGAATACACAAAAACTCCTCCCTCCTCTTAATTCCCCCACAACAACCACCCTGTGAGATGACTTGGGCTGAGAAAGAATGACTGGCCCAAAGTCACCCAGCCAGCTTTCATGCCTAAGACAGAACTAGAATTCCCGGTCTCCTAGTGGTTGACCCAAAGTCACCCAGCCAGTTTTCATACCTAAGACAGGACTAGAATTCACTGTCTCCTAGTGGTTGACCCAAAATCACCTAACCAGTTTTCATGCCTAAAGCAGAACTAGAACTCACTGTCTCCTAGTGCTTGATCCAAAGTCACCCAGCCAGCTTTCATGCCTAAAGCAGAACTAGAACTCACTGTCTCCTAGTGGTTGATCCAAAGTCACCTAACCAGCTTTCATGCCTAAAGCAGAACTAGAACTCACTGTCTCCTAGTGGTTGATCCAAAGTCACCTAACCAGCTTTCATGACTAAAGCAGAACTAGAACTCACTGTCTCCTAGTGGTTGACCCAAAGTCACCCAGCCAGCTTTCATGCCTAAAACAGGATTAGAATTCACTGTCTCCTAGTGGTTGACCCAAAGTCACCTAACCAGCTTTCATGACTAAAGCAGAACTAGAACTCACTGTCTCCTAGTGGTTGACCCAAAGTCACCCAGCCAGCTTTCATGCCTAAAACAGGATTAGAATTCACTGTCTCCTAGTGGTTGACCCAAAGTCACCTAACCAGCTTTCATGACTAAAGCAGAACTAGAACTCACTGTCTCCTAGTAGTTGACCCAAAGTCACCCAGCCAGCTTTCATGCCTAAAACAGGATTAGAATTCACTGTCTCCTAGTGGTTGACCCAAAATCACCTAACCAGCTTTCATGACTAAAGCAGAACTAGAACTCACTGTCTCCTAGTGGTTGATCCAAAGTCACCCAGCCAGCTTTCATGCCTAAAACAGAACTAGAACTCACTGTCTCCTAGTGGTTGATCCAAAGTCACCTAACTAGCTTTCATGCCTAAAGCAGAACTAGAACTCACTCTCCTAGTGGTTGATCCAAAGTCACCTAACCAGCTTTCATGCCTAAGGCAGGACTAGAACTCACTGTCTCCTAATTTATAGCCTAGTGCCTTCACCACTAAACACACTGGCTCTCAGAAGTTAACTTCTGTTGACTCAGAAGTGGGAGTTTAGTTGCTTCAAGGCCCCATGTTGCCGACTTTCCATCCAGGCTAAATCCTCCCAGTGTTTTGAATGGAAAACCCTGGAAGAGCCCCAAAATGCAAACCTCCCACCTGTAATTCTGAGTGGGTGTGTGAAATCAAAAAGCTTTTGGGGGTAAGCTTATACTTTAGAGCGGAGTAGGCCGTCGGAGGGGATCTCGTCGTACTGCCAAAAGGGAAAAGGGAATTGAAGTTTTGTTTCCAAGCTGGCAAAGGGCAGTTTGATTTAATTCCATTTGGACAGCAGCTTCTCAGCCATTCAAAACCTTAGCAAGTGCAGCCTCGGGCTACGAAAACAGAAACCATAGGCAGGTTTCCAACTGAGTAATACTGTCGTAAAAGATTACAGCTAAGGTATTTCATACTATCTGTTGGAAGTAGAAGCCTATTAGCTTTCACATGTATTTGAAATGCCTGTGGGGGAACTGAAGGCCTTTGGACAAACTACAGTCCTTGAGCATACAGATGACTAACATCAGCCTGGTTTGAGCTCATTGAGCTAATCAATGGTTATTCATGAAGCATTCGTGGAAAGTTGGATTGTAGAACGGCTAAAGAGATGGGCTGAATGCTGTTCACGTCCTCAGGATTCTTGCTGCCACACAGGGAATCTTGGACCATATTCTAATCTAATGCATGATGAGAACTAGTGGCCTTTTTCCTGAGATGAAGTCAGGAAAACATACTAGGATAGACAAACTGTGTGGACTTCAACTCCCAGAATTCCCTAACCAGCATTCTCCCTGCGCTCCCAGAATACCGAATCAACTTTAAACGTGTGGACTTCAACTCCTAGAATTCCCCAGCCAGC